GGGGGGGGGGGGGCAAAACATTCCTTCCGTTCAGTGCTTTCGTGAAAAATTCTGACCATCTCGTTGCGGCCTTGACATCCCGAGGGATACAGTCCGTAATCGCCCCAGTCCAACGGTCATCACTATATCTCAAATGTGTCCGGCCCATCTGTTCATCGTTTCCTTGGCGTAAACAACGGCATTCCTGATCTTCGTTCGTTGACGGAGCTCGGAACTCCAGATTCCCATCTGCACTTGCGTGTATAGAGAGATTCCGAGCATCGTCCTTTCCACAGCGTGTCAAATGACGCTAACTGCATGCTCATCCTTTTGTAGAGCCTGAGTCTCCGAAGCGTACGTCAAAGCAGGAAGGACCGCAGTATCGAAAAGGTGGTGCGGAGTCGGATGTTTTTCGTTTCCTTCACTACTCCCTCGATGCTCTTAAATGCTCCCCACGCCGCGCGTTGCTGTCTGTTTAGCTCCGGAGCTACGTTGTTCATCATGTTGAGTTCTTGACCTAGATACACAAAGCTGCAGCATTCAGAGATATTCGTTCCGACGAGCATGAAAGAAGCATCAGGTACCAATTCGTTTCGCATGAACATCGTCTTCGTTAGGTCAGTCGTAATCCGATCTCTCCACAAGCGTTGTCAAATTCGGCTAGCATTTGTTCCGCCTGCTCGATGTTCGGTGTTATAAGCACGATATCATCTGCAAAGTGGAGATGATGTAAGTAGCTGCTGTTGATCTTCACTCCAATTCTTTCCCATTCCATATAGTGCACGACGTTTTTGAGAGCTGCACTGAAAAGTTTGGGCGAGTTGGTATCGCCCTGATGAACCCCTCTCTTCACGTTGATGAGGACCTCTTTATAGAATGGCGAGATCCTGGTCGTGAAATTGTTATAAAGCTCACGAAGCATCCTTACTTATTAAGTAGGAACACCCTGGTTGCCCAGGGCTTTGATTACCGCTTCTGTCTCGACGGTATCAAAGGCTTTTTTTAAATCGATGAGCATAAGGCATAATGGCATTTTGTGCACTCGCGATACTTCGTTAAATCTTCTAAAAGTGTGGATATGATCGATTGTACTGAACCCTCTCCGGAACCGTGCTTGCTCGCATGGCTGTCCTTCATCTAAAATTCTGCCAATCCTGTTAAGGATGACTCGTGTGAAGAGTTTATAGATCACAGACAGCAGGCGAATGGGCGATAATTGCCAATGTCGTCTGGATCTCCCTTATTGTACAGCAACACGGTCTTGCTAATTTTCCACAAAGTAAGCATTTCGGTTTGCGGCAGGTACCGCGTGGAAAGCCGAGCCATGCCTTCAACAATGACTGGCGGAAGGCTCTTTTGATGTTCTGTTTGATCCTGTCGGGACGGGGTGCCTTACCATTCCTCATCGACGTGATGGCATGTCAAAATTCGAGAGGGAGAACTGAAGGGACGACGTATCTGCTTCGCCTATGATGGTAGGTAGGCAGGAAGACATGGCTGTCGGAAAGATCAGAGTAGAAGTCGTAGATGACCTTCTTCATTGCCCTTCGGCATGCAGTAACAGGTCAGGGCGACGAATGACTTCATCTTGGTCTTGTAATTAACGAAGCCCCGGCAAGCTTTGCGAATGAATGCTCTTGTCAGCCTCGCCGCTTCACTCAAACTGCTGCTCTTCTCTCTTTCAGATCTTTCTTTATCGCTTCTCTGCATAGCTTCGCAATTTCGAACGTTAGCTGGTCGACATGATAAACTCGGACAGCCTCTTACTCTGCTCGTTCCATTCCATTCCGTGATTCTCGATGTGGAGCTCTCCAGCAGCTCCACTGGGACTAATCTTGGCGTTGAAACCAGCGACGATGACCTTGGAGAAAGTATGGTCTTCGTTGTAGAGCTTCTCCAGATCCATATACAACGCCTCCAGCTCTTCCTCATCGTAGCTCGATCTGGGCGCGTAAACGATGAAGATTGTTAAAACTGGGGTTGAGCCACATTTTCTGAAGCGCAAAGGTATTATTCGGTCTGTCGAGCTTTCGTACGAGCCGGTGTCCATGTCGTGTTGACGAGGACACCTACACCGCCGACGCCTCTTCTGTCGCATGTTCCAAGAATCAGTCATTCTCCAGTTTCAGGAGTGGCATGCAGTGGGCGGTGCCTTCTCTCTCGGTCAGTCCGATAACGTCGTACTTTATCTGCCCTGCTTGCATCTTTAGATCTTCTATACACGCTTCCGGTGCAAGCGTTCATGCATTGAAAGTATAGATCGCCACCTTAATCCTTCTCCTTTTAGGCGCCTGTCGTAGCCCTGTTATTTTAGCAGCCTCTGCCGAGCGGTATTGGCTCCCAACGCTGCCGTATCGGAGACCCCCTCAGCTTCAGAGGATGAGACTCATTTTTATCGGAGTTTTGGCGTATGAGTATCTTGCCAGCCCACACGCTGCACGTTTCACCCACCTAACGCGTTGAGGTGGTAGGTCAGCGGGGGGTTAGGGTGCCTTATGACTGCAAATCAAGTTTTGAGTAACTGATGCTTAAAACAAAACACAAAACTTATGAATGAACCGATGGCTCCTTCGCAAGAAAGAGGGTTTTCTTTGTAGTGCAGTATTTTTAACATTAATTTTCTTGAATGGTTGTGTTATTTCGTTCATGATTTTTCATGATTTTATTTCCTTTCTTTACTTCCTAGTTGCGATCGCCTTCTGGGAGTCCCGGCACCCTTTTTTCTCTCTTTTCAGATAGTTAAGTACTCCAAGTGCACCGAAGTTGTCCTGTTCAATTAGATGGAAGGGTTCAGAGTTTAGAGCGTTGTTGCTCATTTACCTATGATGAATATGATTTTAATTATAGACACGATCAGCGCATACTTCTTTTCTAAATTATTTCTCTTCTTAAAATACGAAGTATATGCAACAATACTAGTTCATCTGCGATTCAGGCTGACGAAATTGGTTACGTAGTGCTATGTGTATTCAGCTTCGCCGCGGCTGGTTACAAGAAACCAAGTCGAAAATTCATGACTCTTGAATCTTTTTGTTGTATAACGTTTGAATACCCTTTTACAAACCTCTCTTCTGAGTTAGATGAGTTTTCAGTTTCTCCAATTTTCATCTGATATGATTCTAGTTCTTGTGCTCTGTTTTTGCCATTTGTGGTGCAGTGAGAAATACGTTAATCTCAATCGCTCTACTCATTCATTCCTATTAGATCACTAGTTCATGATGTGCTCGTGTTGTTACATCTTTTGCTCTCGATGAATTCTGTAAACATTTCTGAGATGGTACTTACTGGAGCCTAATGTCTTGTCACTGTTTGTAGATATGTACACTTTATTTCCTTTCCTAGCCAGTTTGCAAGTACTAGAATAAATTTTCTCGGTCGTAGAATCCACTCTACTATAATAGGCTAGTATGATTTGTTAAGAGAAACAAGCACAAGAATTAGAAACCAATATTAAACTGCATAGGCAGCGTGCACAACAAACCACAATGTTCACCCGGGCGAATTCAAGCTAAACGAAACCAGGTGGAATAAAAGTAGTAGTTGCATTCGATATAGTAGGGTGTCCCGAAAGTTTTGTGAAAATTTGTCCTCTCAAATTCGACAGCATGTTGCTCTCAAACGCGCTAAAGATTGACTATGGATTTGATAGCGGGGAAGGGGGTATTGTTAATAGATCAACGCTATAACTAATCCGTATTCGACTTGATCGTTCGAAGTAAGTAATCGTAGACCAAACGATGTGCCGCCAATACGGCTACCGGAGCCTTCTGTTTCTCCCTTACTAAACGAATTCTCTTTGACACTCAGGATTGGATTGAGATACGATGACTGATTGGCAGCAGTGACCCTCTCTTGTCACCTACAATAGATGGCGCGATAGCTCCCTCTGAAAAGAGGTTTGCTTCCGAAATCCATTGTCCTCGAATAACGACACTGTTCTGGCCTCTCGTCAGAGCAATGCTGCTCAAAGTGGCAGAATTCGGAGAAGAAGGTCTCTACTCCCGAATACATTATTCACGACTTTCTACGCAAAAGTCACTTTCAAATCAAGACTCTTCGCAAATATCGCGTATCCTTGAGCAAGAGTGTCGAGTGCGAGTCAATGTATATCAGAAACTCCTCGACTGGAAAGGAACGACGACATCAACCGACTCCATCACTGCTCAGGACATAAATTAGATGTCATATAAAAATCCACACAGGAAATCGCAATGCCCAACCGTGGACGTGAGGCCATAGCTCGTAACAAAGCGAGACGCTCACACCATGAAAGACGTGAAGTCATTCTCCCTCTGCTCAACCGAGTGTTTTACTTTTTACTCCCACCACAGTGTACCGCTGTAAACGCAAGGGTATGCTGTCATCGACTAAGTGAGGTGGTGTTTCAAACTCCCATTTCACAGGATTACAAAGAAATCTTCGATTGTAATGGATAACGCTCGTTCACCCAGCGCGAACACGTCGATGGATGAGCTGGAAAGACTTGGTATACTCTGTTAACCCGCTACCCACATATTCACCTGAATTCGACCTATAGATTTGCCATACTTTCAGGGGCTTATAGGCCTGATTTACAGGAGGAAAGTTCACCAACTGTCGAGAAATCAGAAAGGTAGTAGCTGAATGAATTGCACCAGCCTCTCTTCATATTCGAGAAATGGTGTCAATGCCCTGTTCGGTTGACGAAGAGACATTGTTTCTAGGAAGAGCCACTGTCGTGATCACTGATTTAAGATTGCTGTTGTAGTTATTTTGTGTTGGAAAAACCGGCTGGATTTTCTCAATACTTTTCGGACACCCTAATAGGCAGAAAGAAATGGACTTCCGCTGGAGAAATTGCCAAGAGCAGCTTGAGCAAACATAAGTCTCCTACAAAAAAGGGTGGGTAGAAAAAACTAGAGCTGCAAAGCTAGGTAGATATGGTGTGGGACTATTATATTATTTCCCAGTGGTGTAGGGGACACTTTAAAAAATCGGTAAATGACCAATGTATTGATAAAAACTGCTTTTTGAGGAAGGAGATAGTACACACGCTGGAGCGAAATGAGCCAAACAAGTAGAAAAGATGAGTCGGACGTTATAAACAAATTCACCCACTTCTCAACATTTGTTAGCTCCAGTCACTTTCGAGTCAAGAAGGGTCAGGCCAACGCAAGCTCACTCTTCGGATCATGGGTTGGTTATTCACAGCAAATTCTGACATCCAACTGACGTGACCTTTATAGTTGCATTGAACTTCCTAATTCAGATATTTCAGTCTGTATTGGATCTGAAGTTAAAGGCAATTCGTGATAAAATGGTCTCTGACAAGGTAGGAATACTAGGTTGCAGTGGCCATTCAGAATAAGATATATACCGCCGTTCAAAATGTGATTTCGGAAGCTGATCTCAAATTTGCGTTTGAAATCTGCTGAACGCTTCTGGGAACAAAGTTAGCACTGGTAAAATAGCCCATAGCCTTCTATAATTTGTGTGCAAGAGGAAGAAGAAAAAATGCATGAAAAACATTGCTAAAAAACTTTTTCTCGTCTCGGTCAAGTGTTATCTACAAAAGTTGGGGAGAAGTGTGGGAGTCTATGTGTCTTCGATTTAGTCTGTTTTCGGCAAATTATGATGTCTCATGTGGCCGTCACTATCAGATGCAAGACAAAACAAGCGGATCATTTGTCAGTCTATAGGGATTAGAGGATAAAATGGAATATAAGTTATGAGGGCCGTATTCACTCCAAGAAGGGCCCTAGTCAAATGAGCCATACGGCCGCTCTCTACCATGAGTGCAGTAAGCTGCCAAAATTTTCGATACACCTTTTTGGGCATCTGAGATAAAAAAAACCATCTATGTTATTTGGTCACTGATTGTTCATTAGAGTACTATTCCTGGGATCCTAGAATGTGAGGGAGTTAAGTAAATAGCAACATTGACCTAAATGTTCCGCAAGCATTCAAGAGGCATTGCATGGAAAAGCAAAACGAGCGCATGCATTAGGGATCCGAACCTTCCTATGACGCCCACAGGTCCACCATCCTAACAGCAGCGCCATTGTTGCACAGAGCAATCAGTCCCGTAATTTGTTGGCAGAATCGCTCAGCAGATTCGAAACAGGTTTGAGGTCAGGTTGAGGTCAGGTTCGAAACCACTTTTGACAGTATACGTCTCATATAATGGTTTTTGCGACCAAGTACAAGTATAGGAAGATAGCCTAGATATGACGTCATAAAGTCCTCAAAACCTAGCCGACGTACTCACTCCAAAGCGTAGTTCTCAGGCGTTGTAGAGGCTACAGGTGTGACCCTTTTCACCGGGACGCACACCTTGCACGCCGGTAGCTTACTGCAACCAGCTGTATGCTATTGCACGCACTTTTGAAGAGCTCGTCCGAAAACCCCTCTAATGCAACTCTGCAACAACAACAACACATTCTCGTCTAACCTCTGCTTTTATTTCTTTCTAGAGCCTCATGTAATAGTCACACATTCGTCCTGTTTATTTTACACTTGTTTGCCGCTATCATAGTCCTGAAATATCGTGTACACAAGATGATTTTATAACAGAGCCGTCTTATCCAAATTTCCACGCAACTGCAGGGGTGGTGTGAAGTTGTTTAGCTTATTGGAATGCTCACTTATCCTGATGTATAGCGGCCTTTCCGTTCATCACACATATTCCTATCACACACTTGACATGTAATGCGATATGCATTCACTGCATCTAGACGGGCAACGAAGATGGGAATCTACGACTTCTACTCAATCAGGTCTCTTCGACAGCCCTGTCTGCCTGCCTTCTTACAATCTTAGACAAGGACGATATGTCGCACAACCAGCTCTCATTCCGAAATTCGACATGCCGTCACGTCGATGAAGAATTGAACGGGGCCCGGTCCCGGTAGTATCAGACCAAATTATCTGAAGAGCCTTTCATCAGTTATCGTCAAAATTCCAACTAGGATCATCACGCGGTGCGAAGTGCATATGTCATGGGGAACTAGCAAGACTGAGTTGCTTTACGAAGAGGGAGAATTATACGACATAGAGAATTATCGCTAAATT